GGAAATTTGCGCGGTAAAAAACACCGTTAATAATATAGCGCTGAACTACGATAAAACGACATATTATAATCACCACAACAAACTGCTTTCAAACTCGAATCCCTTAGGACGAAGTAGCAAAATGCATCATTGTAGCTACGCTGACAAAGTTTCATCGAATTTATTAATATCTGGCACTAAAACATCACACTGTAATGAAGTTGAAAAAAGTATAGCGCCAAAGTTACTTGAAAAGTCAAGCGATTTAATTGTTGACGTAAATAATCAAAATTTCAACCCTGGAAACCTGTGGTCAGATGCCGAGAAAACACCAGTGGAGGATGGGTTTAGAGAGTACATTTCCAGAAATAAAAAAAGAGCCAGACTAAACAACTCATCTGAAGATAATAATGAAATGAAATCAAGTGGTACCACCGGTAACACGGGCAATGTTAACGCATCCATTCCAAAACCAATTAAAAAAATTATTGGCATCAAAGTAATCGACAACTGCAAACTTCAGGCCGAAAAGAACCTTATAAAAAAGACCGTTTTCTTGATGAGCAACGTAAAAAGATGTCACAGAAATGATGTCATAGATTTTCTTAAAACAAGTGGTATAAACGTCATCTCTTGTTTTCCGGTGATAAAACGTTCTAATCAGGAAATAAGCGATCCAGTAAACAAGGATGAGGAAGAATCAACGATGTTTCGTGTATGTGTTGAAAGTTGCGATGGACCGAAGATGAAGGACCCGGAAATTATGTTAAAACACATCATTGTACGCGAATGGCGTTTCGGGAAAAACACCGACAAAAACTCCGATACAACGAACAAACATGGCTGACAAAAATTCGTTAAATACTGCTAACGATACTCGCAGCAATCTCGTAGAAAAAACCTGCAGACTATATGACGATATAAATCAAATAAATGCTTTGTATAACTCCATCAGCGACAACGAAATTAACGACAATTTGTTTTTCAAGCTAATGCATTTAAACATTAGAAGTTTAGTTCACAAATCAGAAGACTTACTCGATTATTTAAACAACTTTTCTTTTAAATATAACATTATTGGTATAAGTGAAACGTGGCTGAATGATGACAATATCAAGTTAATAAATATTACTGGTTATGATTTTGTTGGTAAAAATCGGTCTGGTAAGCACGGTGGTGGAATCGGTTTGTATATTGATAACGGTATTACGTATAAAACAAGAGACGACATCAATAGCATTAGCAGCATAGAATTATTCAGCATAGAAATAACAAACGATTGTTCCAATAAAAATGCAATAATTGTAATAACATATCGGCCTCCTACCTATGACGCAAATATGTATCTTCAACAAATCGAACAGGTACTACAAATCATAAGTCTAGAGAACAAGTTAGTTTATCTGATCGGTGACATGAACATCAATTTACTTGATGCTGATTCAAATGCCAGCAAATTCCAACTTCAACAATTATTAACATCATACAACCTATCAACTTTAATAACAACCCCAACAAGAATAAGTTTAAATAAAAATTCAGTCATTGATAACATTTTCACGAGCGAACCANATGCAGTAGAATTATGTGGTACACAGGTATGTGATCTTTCGGACCACCTACCAATTTTTATAATTGTAAATATGAAGTCTAACAGAAA